ATTTCTTTCACAATTCATATCCAAAATTTAAGCAAATGTTGCTTTTTCCTTTAGAGATTATCCTAAATCTTAATCGCTTTACAGCTACTCCACCAGTACCACCTTAGTCCAAGAAATGGTTGTCCTTCACTTGGGATATCACATATGTGAACTGGCCTATAGGTTTTCTTGATTTCGTTTGTTTACGCCACAACTGAGAGAGTGAATGTTTTGAAATATGAATGAGATTATGACACTTTCCCCATTCTCCACTTCTAAAGCCTTCTCATCTCAGAAAGAAAAAAATGAGAAGTTAGAACCAGAGCCAACAAGGTCCAACATGATTGGTCCTGCCACTGCCCTCCAACTTCATTTCCAGTTCTTCTTGCCCATTTTGTGGCAGCCACAATGGCCTCCGTGCTGTTTCTTGAACTTGCTAAGCACATTACCAGCCCTGTCTTCAATGATTCCCTTTAGTTAGGGAATAAAAGGGGGCCCCTGTTTATTCTAGAGGGGTCCCCTTTTATTTCCTAGGAGTCACAATCCTGGTGCCTGCTTTTTGCTTCAAGACCCACATGGAAGACTGAGGCTTCTACCATGCTCATTGTTTGTTGTATTTCCATATAAGAAACACATGGAGGTATTTCTTATATTCCTATGCATTTTTATTTTTATTTTGTATCTACTATTATTATATGTTTGGAGAAGAGAAGTATTTCTTCTTGGGAACATCAAAAAGGAAAGTCCTTAAGCCTATAATTTTTCTTTTGAGTTACTGTTATTTGTGCTCATATTTTTTGCTACATTTTCCCTCCTTGATAATGTGTAATTTCAATTTTGATTTTTTCTAAGATTCCTGGGTTATCAAGGAGTAATTTTCTTGTTTATAGAGTAGTTAGCATTTTTAATGGTTCTTTCCTCCCATTGATTTCTAATTTTTGTATTATTATTAGAGAATATGACCTATAAATTTTTCTTCATGATTGCAAGATAAAAATAAATTCAATATATTCTCAATATTTAAGGAGCAACATTTTTAGTTATTAAATAAAATTCATTGACTATATTATTAATGTAAAAAATCTATTTGATCCTCTGACTTCTGAAGTAAATATAGTAAAAGTCTCCACGATGAGCATATATACATTTTCAAATTCTCCTTGCATTGTTAGGAGTTTTTGTTTTATGCAGTTGTTTGCTATGTTGTATGTTGTATAAAGCTTTATGACTGTTATATCTTCTTTGTGGATTGCATATTTTATTGTCACATAATACTCTTCTTTGTCTGGTTTAAGACATTTGTCCTTGAATTTGCTCTATTTGACATTATCACTTTTGCTTGTCTTTGCACCATCTATTGTTGCCTACTTCTTTATTTTTAACCTTTTTCTTTTTAAAAATATGTTATATTTAAATAGTACACAGTTGGATTTCATTTTTTATTCACATGTGATAGCCTCGGATTTTTAATTGGGGAATTAATTTTGTTCACATCGTCTTGTTAGTAAGTATACTTAGGGTTTAGGGCTCCTGTGTTATTTTGTGTTTGTTATCTGTTTTAGTTAGGGATGTGGTTGACTACAAATAATAGAATACATTACTAACAGTTGTTTAACAACATAAATCTCTCATATTTATGTTAGCATATTTTATTTAATAATTACAGAACTTTATTCTTTGAAGTTCCTTGTTTTTCTCAAATGATGAGAAATCTGGGGATGAACTACAGTAGGCAGTATTGGTTTATCTACTCAACAAGATTGTCAGGGGCCCATCCCCTTCTGTCTTCCTGCTTACTCTTCCTTAGCATGTGGCTTTCTTCCTCACGGTTGCAAAAGTCTTCCAGTAACTCTGGGCATCACTTCCTCATTCCAGGGAGGAAGAAGGAAGTGAGATAAAAGAGCAAAGGGTGAAGCAGTTTCTCCTAAGGAGTCTTTACCTTTTGTTTGGAGAAAGAAGCCCTTTCACTGGAAATTCTTTCTACATCTACTTTGTTGGAAATAGAGACATCTGATCACTCCTAGGTCAATCATTTGACTATGAGAATCATATTACATGACAGGTTTAGACAAATTTGATTTGTCTTTTGAGGCGGGGGTAGAAACTTGCCTCTACTGAAACTGAGGGATCTCTGATACTCTCTGAACAAATTGGGGTTTTCTGTAAGGGAGGGAGGTGGGATGGAATGGATGGTAGGTAGGTAATGGACAGTGTCTGCTGTAATAACTATATATTTTTGTTGTTTTCTCTTTCCCTTTTACTTAGTTTTGCAGGATTGGTAAGCCTCTTATCATTTATTTTCTCCCACTATTAATTTGGGAGTTTTATAATTCCAGTTGTAGTTACCTACCTGTTACTATCTGTCATAATTAAACTAGTGTTCCTCTAATATTATGATGCTTTTAACATCTAAAAATAATAATGCTTTCTCCTACATTAGTCAGGGAAATTGGTGCCACCTTCTGCAATGAATAAGCACTGAAGTTTCAATGGATTAATACAATGGAGGTGTATTTCTGAATACATTACAGTTTGAAGTGGATAGAGTATCTTTCCTCTGTGATTTGCTTTGCTTTCTTCTTGTAGTTCCACCATCTTGGAGTAATTTATTTCCAGCTGGGTGGATAAGTGACAGAATGTGGACAAGGCACACCAGCCGCAAACAGCCTGAAAGTGGCACGAATAACTTCCCCTGACATTCCACAGGCTAAAACTCAGTCACATGGTCTCACAGAACTAAAGAGAAGCTGAGAAAAGTAGTCATCTGCTGAACTCAGAAAGAGGAAATGGGGTTCTGGACATAGCAAGTTGCTGGTACAAATTTTTATTTTGGTCACTCACGCATTTTTTTTCTTCTCCTCCATGTAAATACATTCACCACATCCTTAAAGTGGGCACCCTGGAGTCACATCCAGTCACTGGACCCGGACCAAAGTCTGCAAGGGTTCTGTATTAATCTCTATAAGGTCCACTTATAAGGTCTCTGTGAGGTCCACATGTCACTTAAACACCTCCCTCCCCTACCATTAAGTCACAGCGTACAGTGGTGAAGTAGGGTCACAATATCCACTGTGGAGAAGGTAGAATGTGAGCCCTATAAACAGTTACTAGTCTATGGCATTCCAGAAGTCCTATGGGTCAGGCTCTGTGAAGCTCCCCTGCCCTGGCAGGGAAAGGACAGCCTTGAGTGGATGCTGACTGCACCTCTGAGGAGGTTCCTCCTTGCTCATTATTCCCTGTGGCATCACCTGAAGTGAGTATTGAGGGCCATGCTCTCATTGGACCAATATAGTCTTTGAAACCAGCCTCCTGGCCATCGAAAGGGTTGTTTAAGTCCTGAACAATCAAAGACTTTTAAGTCCAGTGTCAAAAATTTAGGAGGCTTCTGATCTGTTTGCTTCAATGTCCCAGTAAAAACATGTACAGTTCGTTTCTAGACATGTTCCACCAATTGTCTGTACCCCTTTTCCTCTTTACCTCTGTGCCTTGCCCTTTCAACTGAAGAGTACCTGTCTTAGGTTCTTTGTAAAACTAAGTGTGAGCGATCTCACTTGTTATGTGCTTGTGTTAGCCTGGCTCCTCTGTAGAGCAGAGATAAGGATGGGATTAAATACATGAGGGTTTTACTTAGAAAGTGTCTGAGAAAGGACAGGGTGCTGGAGGAGGTGGGGAGAGCTGTTGCACTGCAGTGCAAGTGTGACCTTGAGTGAAGGAGACGGGAACTGTTAGGTTGGTTGGAGGTGTTCTAGGCAGACATGAAATCCAAGGAACTTTTGTCAAAGCCTCAGGGAAGTTGCCCATCAGAGGAGACTGGTGTCTCCTGGGAATGAGCCTGCCACGCTCAGTCAAAGGCTGGTAGCTGCCTCTGTGAAGCATGGCCTTGGGCAAACATAAGAGCACAGGAGCTAGAGTGCTTGGTCAATTATGCTGCCCGTAGTTGGATATCTGGAGCACATTCTCATGGTAGCCACAGTGCTCTGTACCCAGGTCACTTTATTCCCCTTACAAGTTTAGTAGGGCTCTGTCATGCAGAACTTTTAAAAATCCTATCTCTGGCAATTTGGGCCTTAGGAGGAGATGGTTTTCCCAATCTTGCGAAGTCCCAGATTTCTGTATTCTCTATGTTTCATTTCATTTATACTTGCAAAGCACTCAATTCTTCCTTGAACTAATTTCTTTCTCTAAACACCTTGCCGAACACAACCACTAACAACTAACACACACTACCAATGTTCTATTTTCCAGTTTCTTCCCTTAGGGTGAGAAGGTCAGAGGGCATGATGGTCTGCCTTTTTTAGTGTCTGACAATTTTACCAAATGTTTTGCTCCTGCATAACATGGATCTCTAGCCATTCAGCCTATTAAACATCACTCAACACCCAACTGCTAAGGCAGTGACCCACAGTTTATGTCTTTGTTTCAGTGGTACCTCACTTTTGAGATAGATTTTCATTTTAGTCATGGTTATCAACAGAAATCTGTTGCAACAGGAAAACTGAAAAATGTCAGTGGCTTAATTCAACATAGGTATAGTTCCTGCTCATGTTACAGGTGGATATGGGTCAGGGAAACTCAGGGGCCTAGCTACTTCATCTTGCAACTCCACCATCTCCGATTCCTTATTTTCAGCCAGTGGACAGGACGGGTGGGAGGGAGGGAGGTGGGAAGAGAGAGGACAGGAGGGAGGAGAAGGCTCACTGGCTCCTAATTGCCTTGGTCCAAGTGTGACACGAGTCACTTCCTTCAGAGAGTGCTGCATTCTCTGCTGAAGATGTCAGGGGTGCTCGGCCTCAGACATCAGTTCCACACTTGGACATCTGCTTCAGCAGGCCTAGAGGGAGTTCTATTGCTGCCTAGAGGGAGTGGGAGGGAGAGAGGGCTGTGGACCTGCACTCAGGCCAAAATCTCTCTGGGATCCTCTTTGTTGATGACAGAGTACTGCAGAGTGGTTATGTATGATTGGCCAATTAGAACTCAGACCTGTTTCTTCATCCTCTCTTGTTCCTCCTTATGTTGTGAAGCAGCGAATGACAAGCATATCCAGTGGCTCCTGGGGGCAGATGGCGAGGTCTGGGTCTGGATCATGGGAGAAGGCCCTGGCGACAAGCCCTATGAAGAAATCTCTGAGGAACTGATTGCAGAGAGGGCACGGCTGCAGGCACAGAGGGAGGCCGAGGAGCTCTGGTGAGAGGTGCCAATGGGTGTTGGGTGGGGCCTGAACTCAGGGTCTTGGGGTGGGTTCCAGATAAAGACAATAGGTTGTGGATAGGAGAGAGGAGGTACTGGGAAGCTGGCTGCCTGTTTTGAGCTCTGCTAAGATTAGGTGACCAAACCATCAAAGTTTCATGTCAGATAGACTTTGTAGACTCAAATCTTGGATCCATCAATTAGAAGTGAGCTAACTGGGGCCTTGGTTTAACAACACTTGGGTGCCAACATTTACCCCCCTCCCCTGATTTTTAGTGACAGAGTTTTAACTGTAAAATCATTAATAACAATCCAACACCTGCCACCTAACATAACCACAGTGAGCATTTTGGCAATACAGATGCTCCTTGATTTATGGTGGAGTTATGTTCTGATATACCCATTGTAAATTGAAAATATCATAAGTTGAAAATGCATTCACTACATCTAATCTACTGAACATCACAGCCTAGCCTAGTTTACCTTAAATGTGCTCAGAACACTTAAGTAAAAAATGAGTATATAGTGTTCTTATTACATTAGCACACAAGATCATCTAGCACAGTAACTACACTGTAGAGTACTGGTTGTTTACCCTTGTGGTGTGGGAGCTGTGACTCTCTGTCACTATCCAGCAACAGGAGAGACTATAGCATATCAGTAGCCTGGGAAAAGAACAAAATTCAAAATTCAAGGTACAATTTCCACTGCATGTGTACTCCTTTTACCCCATTGAAAAGCCAAAAAATCATAAGTCAAACTACCATAAGTTGGGGACTGTCTGTACATGCTTTGTAAACTGCTTTATTTACACAATGATAAATTGATTAATATAGATTCACAACATTATTTAAGATTATTGCCCTGACTGGTGTAGCTCAGTGGGTTGGGCATCACCCCACAAACTGAAAGGTCACAGGTTTGATTCACAGTCAGGGAACATACCTTGGTTGTGGGCCAAGTCCCTGGATGGGGGCATGTGAGAGGTAGCTGGTCAATGTTTCTATCACACATTGATGTTTTTCTCCCTCTCTTTCTCTATCCCTTCCTCTTTCTCTAAAATATAAAGGAAATCTTTTAAAAAATTACTATATAATATTCTCATTACATGGGAAACCCAACGTATTGGTCCTGTTGGTGGACATTTAGGTCATTTGCCATTCTTTGTACTATAAAAATCTTCTGATGAACATCTTTTACTTATGCCTTGTGAACTTGACTGGGAGATGGGATTTTCAAGTCTTTTTTTCCTTGGCTTCCAGAACAGTTCTGCTGATTTACACCCCTATACGTGAGAGTGCTTATTTTTCCCCATTTTTGCCAACATTGAGTTTTGTTGACTTTAGACTTTTGTCATTTTAACAGAGTAAGCAATACTGTCCAAGGTGAAGGGGTTAAGAAGTACAAATTGGTTGTTACAGAATAGTCATGAGGATGTTAAGTACAGCATAAGGAACATAGTCAATAATATTTTAATAACTACATATGGTGTCAGATGGGTGTGAGATTTATCGGGATGATCACTTAGTAAGTTATGTAATGTCTAATCACTGGGGTGTACACCTGAAACTAATACCAAAAAAAGAAGTACTGCCCATAGTTTTTATGTGAACTTCTGTGGTTATGTAGCCCTTCAGTTTTCCACATGAGCTTATACCTAATGGTGTTCTCTTGAAAGGAGACAGAAGGAGGCAGAGATCACCAAGAAGTTCCGGGATGCTCTGGCCAATGAGAAAGCCCGGATCCTGGCAGAGAGGTGGAAAGTGGAGATGGAGGACCGCAAGGCTGCCAAAGTCCTGGAGGAGCGCATTCGTGAGGAATTCAAGGTGAACCAGTGCATGGGGCATCTGTGTGTGGCTACCTGCTCTAGCTCTCAGGCCAGTGGTTTGGCCATTGGTCATTACTGAGTGCTTTATAAGAACAGAAATCTGGCAAGTCTGATTGGGAAAGAACTTGACTTATTATTTGGGTCAATACACTTCTCATTGTACAGTTGAGAAAACTGAGGGTCCGACCTGGAAGAGACTTGCTAAGACCAGGTGTAGTTAGAGACAGAGCCAGGATCAGAACTCAGGCTTTCTGCCTCCCAAACCAAGATTCCTGAAAAGAGACCTGGAAAAAACAATGTTTGTAGTCAGGTCAACCTGGGATGCAGTTCTAACTCTACTGCTTACTGCTGTGTGACCTTGGGAAGCTTGCTGAACTCCTTTGAGCCTTTACTTCTCTTGTTTATAATATTAGGGTAATGACAACACCCAATTTGAGGTTTTTGGGAGATACAAGGAAATGAAAAATGCACACTTTTCTGACCCTGGATAGGGAGATGTTGGTAATCTTGCATGGCTGTTCATTCTGGGAGAGTTTGGAACTGGTGAATGAGATTTATAGAAGCTTAGGTAGCCTTAAAAAATTTATTTCTGCTCCTTTTTGAGATTTTTTTTTGTTACAGTAATAATGCATTTTTTGGGGGGGGGATAGAGAACTCAGAAATGCATGTAAGCAAAAAGAAGAAAATAATAGTCATTCTGAATCCCAACAATTATATCATTTTGTGAAGTGTAGAGCAGTGATTTTCAACTTCTGTGCCACAAAAATTTTTAAAATGTGCAATACCTGACTATTTTGCCAGGGGCATTTACCTCTTTTCCCTTAGATTGTCAAATAAAAAAGTGACAATAGCCAACACAACAATAGATGTCCATTGCAAATGAATCAAAATTATGGTTATTTTTTGTCCAATTGGCAAAAAATACTCTATATTTTTTGGTGTGCCACAGAATTTCAATGATTAGTTTATGTGTCCATGAGATGAAAAAGTGTGGATTAATGGCATTTGCCCATTAAATTTTTTTTAAAACCCACTTTTCCTTATAATGATTATGTAGTGAGGACATTGGCCCCTTAAGGTCATTTATATTGCAAATATTTTCCTTAATGTTGTTTTTTTCTTAATTTTTATTATAGAGCTCTTAAAGTACAGAAGATTAAAATTTTTACTAGCTAATTTTATCAATCTTTTTCTTTATTATTTGTTTTATGCCTATAAAGAGCTGTGCCACCACAAGATTATAAAATACTAATATACATTGTTTTCTATATCTTTCATAATTTTGTTTCTTCTCACTTAATTTTCTTTTACTTTGGAATGTTGTTTGATATAGAGCTCTAACTTTCTTTTCTTCACGTGTTAGCTAGTTGTCTCAGCATCATATATTATGCCATTTACCCTCTCACCTCTTTTTTTAAGTATATTTTATTGATTATGCTATTACAGTTATCCCATTTTTTTCACCTCTTTGTCCCCCTCTGCCCTGTACTCTAGCATTCCCTGCCTACCTTAGTTCATGTAAATGGGTCATATATATATGTTCTTTGGCTTCTCCATTTCCTATACTATTCTTAATCTCCCCCGTCTATTTTGTACCTTCCAATTATGTTGCTTATTCCCTGCACCTTTTCACCCACTCTCTTCCCTCCCCGCCCCCACTGTTAGCCCTCCATGTGATCTCCATTTCTGTGATTCTGTTCCTGTTCTAGTTGTTTGCTTAGTTTGTTTTTGTTTTTGTGTAAGTTCAGTTCTTGATAGTTGTGAGTTTGTTGTCATTTTACTGTTCGTAGTTTTGATCTTCTTTTTCTTAAATAAGTCGCTTTAACATTTCATAAAATAAGAGCTTAGTGATGATGAACTCCTTTAGCTTTACCTTTTCTGGGAAGCACTTTCTCTGCCTTTCCATTCTAAATGATAGCTTTGCTGGATAGAGTAACCTGAGATATAGGTCTTTGCTTTTCATGATTTTGAATACTTCTTTCTAGGCCCTTCTTGCTTGCAAGGTTTCTTTTGAGAAATCAGCTGATAGACTTATGGGAACTCCTGTGTAGGTGACTCTCTCCTTTTCTCTTGCTGCTTTTAAGATTTTCTCTTTATCTTTAATCTTAGGTAATTTAATTTTGATGTGTCTTCATGTGTTCCTCTTTGGGTTCAACTTCTTTGGGATTCTCTGAGCATCCTGAACTTGTACATCTGTTTCCTTTGCCAGATTGGGGAAGTTTTTCATTATTTTTTCAAGTAAGTTTTCAATTTCTTGCACTTCCTCTTTTCCTTCCGTCATCCCTGACTCAGATATTGGAATGTTTAAACTTGTCCCAGAAGTTCCTAATCCTCTCCTCATTTTTTTGAAATCTTGTTTCTTCATTCTTTTCCAGTTGAATGTGTATTTCTTCCTTCTGTTCCAAATCATTGATTTGAGTCCTGGTTTTCTTCCCTTTACTGTTGGTTCCCTGTATAATTTTCCTTATTTCACTTTGTATAGTCTTCACTTCTTCCTGTATTTTGTGTCTGTATGCAATCATTTCTGTGAGCATCCTGATTATCTGTGTTTTGAACTCTGTGTCTGATAGGTTGGCTATCTCCTCATTGCTTAGTTCTTTTTTTCTGGAGTTTCGATCTGTTCTTTCATTGGGCCCTATTTCTTCTTCTCCACACACCTGCTACATTGTAAGTGGTGGAGCCTTAGGTATTCACCAGTGTGGGGCAAAGCACTTCACTGAGTTGTGGCACTATATGTCGGGAAGGGGTCAGAAAGAGAACAAAGCTGCTTGCTTGGCTCTCACCCTGTTTTCAGTTACTTACCCTGCTACCCATAAGCGAATTGCGCCCTTCTGGTGCTGATTTCCAGGTGCGTGGGCTTGTGTATGTTCTAGAACCTTGTGGGCCCCTCCAACAGACTCTCCTGTGAGACTGACAGATTCTCTTGCTGCAGCAACTCGCACAGATTTTTACAGGCAGAGGCTTTGAAGGTTTCTTTTCCTTCACTGGAACCCTGGGTTTCATGGTCTGTCTTATTCCCCAGTTGTTCCTCCTGGTTTATCTACATGTGAATGTTGGACCACCTGGTCTGCCAGCTGCTGCCTTGCCACACGTCCTTTCTGCCCCGGCTGCCTGTCTCTGTCCCTCCTACCAGTCTGGATGAATATTTTCTCCTGTAATTCCTTGGTTTCAGATTTCCATATGGTTCGATTTTCTGGCAATTCTAGTTGATGTTTGTTTTTAAATTGGTTTGTTATCCTTCTTTTGGTTGTGCAAGGAAGCAAAGCGTATCTACCTATGCTTCCATCTTGGCTGGAAACCCCAACCTACCCTCACTCCTCTCACTGTACTTGCTGCCTTGATTTTTACTTCTTATTTCTGTATCTCTTTGTGGATTTTTGTTCTTTGCTTATTCCTCAGCCAGATTTACTTTTTTAATTATTGCAGTTTTAAAATAAACCTAAACATTTGTTGTGGTGAGTTATTTTTCATTTCCAAAATGACCTTGGCTGATCTTACCCATTTTTTTCTACTAGAGACACATTTGAAATATTTTGTCACTATTCTCCTCCCCCACTTCCAACAAAAAACACACCATAATTTTAATTGGAATTGCATCTACCTTATAGCTGTATTTGTAGAGTATGGACATTTTCACAATATTAAGTTTCTGAATTTTTTCATTCAGAAATGTAGTATGTTCTTCCTGTCAGTCAAATCTTATTTGTCTTTGATAAAGTGTTTTTTTTTTATTAATACCTGTAAATGCATTGGCCACCCCATCCCAGACATTCACAGTGTGTTTATGTGCTTCTGTTTTTTGGACTTTGGTAAAATTTATTGTTATTAATTAAGTACTCCTCAATTATTTTTTAGTTAAACCTTAGGCTTAATATTTTTTGTTGCTGTCATGAATGAGGTTGTTCTCATTACCTTAAAACCTATTGTAATTGCTAGTTATATATTTATATTGTTATTGATCTAGTTATTTAATTTTCCCTTGAGTTATATTTTAGGAAATTCTCTTGAGTCATTAAGTGAAATAATATTTACTTTCAAAACATTTTATTAAAAAATTTGCTAACTTGTAGAAAGATTGAAAGAAAAATAAAATGAATAATCATATATTATCCATTTAAATGCACCAATTATTAATATTTTGCCACATTTGCATTCTCTCCTCTCTCTGTGCATTCACACAAAGTTTGTACTGGAGAACAACATAGGTTTGAACTGCATGAGTCCTCTTATATGTTCATTATTTCAATAAATACTGTAAATATATTTTATCTTCCTTAAGATTTCCTTGATATCATTATCTTTTCTATAGCTTACTTTATTATAAGAATATAGTATATAAAACATATATCATAAAAATATGTTAATTGACTATTTATGTTAAGACTTCCAGTCAATAGTAGGCTATTAATAGCTAAGTTTTTGGAGAGTCAAAATTTATACAAGGATTTTCATCTGTGCAGATCTTGGCACACCCCAAACCCCATGTTGTCTGAGTCAACTGTACATGTGTATATATATGTGTATAAATATATATACACACACATGCATATATACACTTTTTCATTGCCATTGTTTTACTGAACAATTAGAAAGGAAATTGCAGATATACAGTCTAACTCAAGGCTTAGCAATCTATTTTATTTTATTTTTTATTTATTGGTTTTTGAGAGAGAAAGAGAGAGAGAGGTCAATTTGTTGTTCCACTTATTTCTGCATTCATTGGTTGCTTCTTGTATGTGCCTTGACTGTAGGATCGAACCCTCAACCTTGGAATATTGAGATGACATTCTAACTAACTGAGCTATCCAGCCAGGGTAGCAATGTATTTTCTATAAAGAGCCAGATGGTAAACGTTTTAGGCTTTTAAGCCATATTGTCTCTGTCACAACTACTGAATCAGGCTACTGAGGCACAAAAGCAGCCATATACACCATATAAAAAGATGACATGGTTGTTCTAATAAGACTTTACTTTAAATAATAGATTGAATCCAGATTT